GGACTGCTGCACACCAGGCTTCCCAGTCCTTCACTAACTCTCGGAGTTTGCGCTTGTCCATTGAGTCAGTGATGCCATCCAACCATCTCATTCTCTGCCCCCCTTCTCCTCCTGCCTTCAATCTTTCCCAGCATCAGGGTATTTTCCAATGAGTCGGCCCTTCGCTGACTCATTGGAACATATTGTGGTCAAAGTATTGGAGCTTCAGTATCAGTCCTTCCAATGTTTATTCAGGGTTGATTTCCTTTAGGATGATTGGTTTGCTCTCCTTGCTGTCCAAGAGACTCTCAAGCGTCTCCTCCAGCACCACAGTTTGAAAGCATCACTTCTTTGGCTCTCAGCCTTCTTTATCGTCCAACTCTCACATTTGTACATGACTACTGCGAACTATAGCTTTGACTATACGGACTTTGTCAGCCATGTGATGTCTCTGCTTTTTAATGTGCTGCCTACTTTTGTCATAGCTTTTCTTCAAGGAGCAAGCATCTTTTAATTTCATGGCTGCAGTCACTGTCCACAGTGAAAAGATGATGCTTTCTTTCACAGAAGCCTCCATGACTGGTCTGCACATAAGAGCAGGAAGGGCACGAAAGCCAGCACATGGCCAGTGACTCAGAGCAACAGCTCCTAGGGTAAGGCTGTGGTTCCAGCATCGAGTCTGCCCTGAGTTCTGAAAGAAACTGGGTCTTTAACAGTGGTTCTTTAGGTAGGGGGGTCTGTCATTTTGCTTGGAAAGCAGTGTGGGAAGGAGATGGGAAGGAAATGAAGCTCCCCACCAAGTGTTAACCATTCACAAGCAGCTGAGAACCTTGATGAACAGCCTTATAGACTTGACACATGGAAACAGCTCACCTTGGTTTTAAAGCAGCAGTCAGCCACACCCTCAGACCTTCAGAAGCTCACCGAGCTGGAAGGTCCTAGACTGCGACTGTCAGGGGGTCTGGTTCCACTCAGATTCTGCTACTCGTTAGTTGTGGTTGTTCTTGGGGGGCACGCTCCATCTCTGTGAGCGCAGAACTGCCATCCACAGAGAAGGGACACAGATACCCAACCACTCTGAGTTGCCGTGAAGTTCACTGAAGGCCGGGGCCCCGTGGAAGCTGATCAAACTGTCATCAGTATCAACCATGTGGCTACGTGAATATAATATTTCTCTCCTTCCCTTATCCAAAAATTTTTTTAAATCCAAACTAACCCTTAGATGAAGTTAAAGGATGCTTGTCCCTTGAAAGGAAAGCTACGACAAACTTAGACAGCATATTGAAAAGCAGAGACATCACTTGACCAACAAAGGTCCGTATAGTCAAAGCTAAAGATTTTCCAGTAATCATGTACAGGTGTGAGATTTGGACCATGAAGAAGTCTGAGCTCTGAAGAACTAAAACTTTTGAACTGTGGTGCTGGGGAAGACTCTTGAGAGTCTCTTGGACTGCAAGGAAATCAAACCAGTCAATCCTAAAGGAAATCAACTCTGAATAGTCATTGGAAGGACTGATGCTGAAGCTGAAGCTCCAATACTTTGGCCGCCTGATGCAAAGAGCCGACTCACTGGAAAAGACCCTGATGCTGGGAAAGATTGAAAGCAGGAGGAAAAGGGGAAAACAGAGGATGAACTGGTTAGATAGCATCACCAACTCAGTGGACATGAGTTTGCGTAAACTCTGGGAGGTCGTGCAGGACAGAGGAGCCTAGTGCACTGCAGTCCACGGGGTTGCAAAGAGGAGGCCATGACTTGGCAACTGAACAACAACAACCAACTCTTAGATTGACAAAGACAGTTTGCCAGGACGTTATCTGGTGAGAGCTTAGGAAACTGAAATTCTTTATTTTTTTTTTCATTTATTTTTATTAGTTGGAGGCTAATTACTTTACAATATTGTAGTGGTTTTTGTCATACATTGACATGAATTAGCCACGGATTTACATGTATTCCCCATCCCAGTCCCCCCTCCCACCTCCCTCTCGACCCAATCCCTTTGGCTCTTCCCAGTGCACCAGGTCCGAGCACTTGTCTCATGCATCCAACCTGGGCTGGTGATCTGTTTCACTCTAGATAATATACATGTTTTGATGCTGTTCTCTTGAAACATCCCACCCTCGCCTTCTCCCACAGAGTCCAAAAGTCTGTTCTATACATCTGTGTCTCTTTTTTCTGTTTTGCATATAGGGTTATTGTTACCATCTTTCTAAATTCCATGTATATGTGTTAGTATACTGTAATGGTCTTTATCTTTCTGGCTTACTTCACTCTGTATAATGGGCTCCAGTTTCATCCATCTCATTAGAACTGATTCAAATGAATTCTTTTTAATGGCTGAGTAATATTCCTGGTGTATATGTACCACAGCTTCCTTATTCACTCGTCTGCTGATGGGCATCTAGGTTGCTTCCATGTCCTGGCTATTATAAACAGTGCTGCAATGAACATTGGGGTGCACGTGTCTCTTTCAGATATGGTTTCCTTGGTGTGTATGCCCAGAAGTGGGATTGCTGGGTCATATGGCAGTTCTATTTCCAGTTTTTTAAGAAATCTCCACACTGTTTTCCATAGCGGCTGTACTAGTTTGCATTCCCACCAACAGTGTAAGAGGGTTCCCTTTTCTCCACACCCTCTCCAGCATTTATTGCTTGTAGACTGTTGGCTAGCAGCCATCCTGACTGGCGTGTAATGGTACCTCATTGTGGTTTTGATTTGCATTTCTCTGATAATGAGTGATGTTGAGCATCTTTTCATGTGTTTGTTAGCCATCTGTATGTCTTCCTTGGAGAAATGTCTGTTTAGTTCTTTGGCCCATTTTTTGATTGGGTCATTTATTTTTCTGGAGTTGAGCTGGAGGAGTTGCTTGTATATTTTTGAGATTAATCCTTTGTCTGTTGCTTCGTTTGCTATTATTTTCTCCCAATCTGAGGGCTGTCTTTTCACCTTGCTTATAGTTTCCTTTGTTGTGCAAAAGCTTTTAAGTTTCATTAGGTCCCATTTGTTTATTTTTGCTTTTGTTTCTAAAATTCTGGGATGTGGGTCATAGAGGATCCTGCTGTGATTTATGTCGGAGAGTGTTTTGCCTATGTTCTCCTCTAGGAGTTTTATAGTTTCTGGTCTTACATTTAGATCTTTAATCCATTTTGAGTTTATTTTTGTGTATGGTGTTAGAAAGTGTTCTAGTTTCATTCTTTTACAGGTGGTTGACCAGTTTTCCCAGCACCACTTGTTAAAGAGGTTGTCTTTTTTCCATTGTATATCCTTGCCTCCTTTGTCGAAGATAAGGTGACCATAGGTTCGTGGATTTATCTCTGGGCTTTCTATTCTGTTCCATTGACCTATATTTCTGTCTTTGTGCCAGTACCATACTGTCTTGATGACTGTGGCTTTGTAGTATAGTCTGAAGTCAGGCAGGTTGATTCCTCCAGTTCCATTCTTCTTTCTCAAGATTACTTTGGCTATTCGAGGTTTTTTGTATTTCCATACAAATTGTGAAATTATTCGTTCTAGTTCTGTGAAAAATACCGTTGGTAGCTTGATAGGGATTGCACTGAATCTATAGATTGCTTTGGGTAGTATAGTCATTTTGACAATATTGATTCTTCCAATCCATGAACAAGGTATATTTCTCCATCTGTTTGTGTCCTCTTTGATTTCTTTCATCAGTGATTTATAGTTTTCTATGTATAAGTCTTTTGTTTCTTTAGGTAGATATACTCCTAAGTATTTTATTTTTTTTGTTGCAATGGTGAATGGTATTGTTTCCTTAATTTCTCTTTCTGTTTTCTCATTGTTAGTGTATAGGAATGCAAGAGATTTCTGTGTGTTAATTTTATATCCTGCAACTTTGTTATATTCATTGATTAGCTCTAGTAATTTTCTGGTAGAGTCTTTAGGGTTTTCTATGTAGACGATCATGTCATCTGCAAACTTTAAATGGTTGTGTGTTTGGAGAGCCCTGACTCACCCAAATTTCCTCCCAGAATACGCCAAGGAGAGCATATGCCCTCAAGGACTCACACAGCTTTTAAGGATAATGTAAGGCATTTTTTGCTGTGGCTTTCAGGGAGGAGCTTCTAGGTGTCTGTTTTGTAGAAGATTTGTTTGCAGTGGCTACTATGAGTCACATTTGTCACCTTGTCTGGCATCCCAAGTGGAGGGAATGGGAAATCTTTTAAAAAACTGGTGCTAAAATCCTCTGACAGCCCCCACCGCCCTGGTCTAGCACCAGCTCCCATGGGTTTCTCCCGTCACTGGTCTCCCTGAAGGCTTTGAAATCAACCACTAAACCACAGGCTGCAGTGGAAATAAAATATAGCTCTAATTTTCATATTTATTTGTAAAGATTTAAACATGTTTTCCTGCAGCCCTGCAGCAAGCTCAACTGTTTTTTAAAAACTATTGGAAAGTGACATTTTAATTTTTTTTTTAAAACTAGATTATGTATAACCAAACATGCAACGAAAGGAGTCATTAAAATGCATATTGTAAAATTGAAACTTAAGTGTCAAGTTTTTATAGCAGTCTGTCAAATGCTTGACAATTAAAATAGCTATTTTTAAAATTTTAATGAGACACAATAAGGGTGAAATGTGCATGGAGATTGCATATTTTCAAGACTGCACATTTTTAGCATAACAAGTCCATTCTATATCATTACGGTAATGCCCCATTTGTAAAGCTCACCATCTATTTTTAATTAAATTAGTGTATGTCATTTATTATGGGCATTATATTTATTAATCTTTAATATTTAATTGAAGATGACTTATCTGCATAAAAGACAACTTAGCACAACCAAGTAGACACCCCGAGAAGTAATGGGCTTGTGGTTCTGAAGGCAGTAAATATGCTTCATCCCTTATATTTCATAAGCTAAAGGTTGAATAAGTTTAGCTGTGTCTTTCGTTTCCTATTACAGCCATTCTAAAGAAGAGGAAAGACACATCTAATGTTACAGACAAGCTGCTTCATGACTTTTCAGCTTCTGTTGTTCTGCTGTTTGCATTGAAATAATCAGAATCTCTCATTTTCAAACCATTTACTAATTTCCTCAATTCTCCCATGAACAACGGCACAGCTGATGTTAGCAAATACACCTCGTCTGTTCCCTTCTATAACGATGACGGTTTAGGTTTGGATGGTCAGAGGTGGTTTACTGAAGACGTCACGGTGCGGCCTGGTAACCCACCAGCTTGGCTGTGCCCTGACCTCGGGGATTCTTGTCTGAGCAGCTCACGGACGGAGGCCTGCTAACTGGCCCTTCCTGCACACAGGGGTTGGGTGGGAATGCCCTGTATCACCAGTAATGCTTCTCCTCTTCAGAGAGCTTAATCCCTGTCCTGTTACTTAGAACTGCATTTAGAATCCTGACTCGGTCTCACTGAGATGAGAAGGACAAGAAAAATCCAGGGGGCACTGGTAGGGTGGTGTGGGGGTGGAGTCTGGTGAAGTTTGGCCTTTTCTTCCTTGTTTGGAAAGCTGAGGAGGACCCGTGTGTACATGCATGGAAGTGCGCGTGTGTGCACAGTGTCCCTATGAGTGTGCACATGTGTGCATGCAAGTACATGTGTCTATATGATCCAAAAGACATGCAGATGCTGGGAACCTCATAGGGCCATCTGTACTCTTCTCCAAGCCACTCTTGGTGGGAATGTAATTTGGCGCAGCCACTAAGGAGAAGAGCGTGGAGGGTCCTGAAGAAGCTGAGAATAGATCCCACAGGATCCCACAGGATCTATCCCACAGGATCTATCCCACAGGATCCCACGGGATCTATCCCACAGGATCTATCCCACAGGATCCCACAGGATCCCACAGGATCTATCCTACAGGATCTATCCCACAGGATCTATCCCACAGGATCTATCCCACAGGATCTATCCCACAGGATCCCACAGGATCCCACAGGATCCTGCAGTCCTCAGACTGGGCACACACCCAGAGAAAGACATGGCTCGGAAGGGTACATGCATCCCCATGTTCACTGCGGTGATGGTTACATCAGCCGAGACATGGATACAAACTAAAAGTCCACTGACAAAGGAATGGATAAAGAAGATGGGTGTGTGTGTGTATATATATATATGTGTGTGTGTGTGTGTGTGTGTGACACACACACACATACTATATACATTATGTATATATGTCTACATAAGGAAATATATCATAGAATCTTATATAATGGAACGTGATACAATGAAACATTACTCAGCCATAAGAAAGAATGAAGTAATGCCATCTGCAGCAACAAGGATGGGCTTGGAGATCACCATGCTGAGTGAATTGTCAGGCAGAGAAAGACAAATATATGATATTGCTTATATGCAGAATCTTAAAATATGATACAAATGAACTTATTTACAAAACAGAAACAGACTCACAGACATAGAAAACAAAGTCGTGGTTACCAGGTGGAAAGGGTGGAGGGGGAGATAGATTGGGAGTTTGGGAGGGACAAGTGCACACTGCTACACTTAAAATAGATAACTAACAAGGACCTAGTGTATAGCACAAGGAACTCTGCTCAATACTCTGTAATAACCTAAATGGGAAAAGAATTTGAAAAAGAATAGATAGATAGATGTATATCACTTTGCTCATACCTGAAATGAACACATTATTAATCAACTATATTTTAATACAAAATAAAAATTAAAAATAGATAAATCAATTATCATATTAAAAAAATGATAAAGACCTTGGCAGAGATATCACTTTACCAACAAATATCCAAATAGTCATGAGGGCTTCCTTCTTAGCTCAGTCAGTAAAGAACCTGTCTGCAACACAGGAGACCCATGCTCAATTCCTGGGCTGGGAAGATCCTCTGGAGAAGGAAATGGCAATCCACTCCAGTATTCTTGCCTGGAGAATTCCATGACAGAGTAGCCTAGCAGGCTACCGTCCATGGGGTCACAAGAGTCAGGCACAACTTAGCGACTAAACCACATGGTTTTTCCAGTAGTCATGTATGGATATGAGAGTTGGACCATAAAGAAGGTTGAGCACTGAAGAACTGATGCTTTCAAACTGTGGTGCTGGAGAAGACTCTTGAGAATCCCTTGGACAGCAAGGAGATCAAACGAATCAGTCCTAAAGGAAATCAACTCTGAAGATTCATTGGAAAGACTGATGCTGAAGCTGAAGCTCCAATGCCTTGTCAACCTGATGCCAAGAGTCAACTCATTGGAAAAGACCCTGATGCTGGGAAAGATTGAAGGCAGGAGGAGGAGGGGGCGACAGAGGATGAGATGGTTGGATGACATATCGACACAATGGACATGAGTTTGAGCAAGCTCTGGGAGATAGTGAAGGACGGGGAAGCTTGGTATGCTACAATCCATGGGGTCGCATAGAGTTGGACACAACTTAGCAAGTGAACAACAACAATCTTCTCTTCAGCATCAAATGGACACTCAGTACAGCTTCCATTCCTGAAAGTGATGCCTCCCAATGTAGCCATCTTGCAGAAGGAGCAAGACAAGCCAAGGAAACTAAAGAAGCAAGGGCCTCATCTTCCTGTGGATTTTCAACAGGATACCGAAACGAAAGGGACGGGCAAATCAGGAGCACCCACAGATCAATATCCATTTCCCATCTTCTGTTTCCATTGTTGGTTCAAATGTGAGTCTCAAACTTAGCCAATTTCTCTTGGAGAGCTAAGAGCATGTTGTAATTATTTTCATATAAAGGCAACTTATTTTGTAAATATGATCATTAGCATGATTTGCATTTGCTATATTTAACTCAGCACATTAATGGATAGTTACATATTCATTTGCTTCAAGGGAAAAATTGTGCAGTTGCAAATGGCTATTGTTTTATGAAGCTATGAATCGCTCAGAATTCACCGAAGCCTAGATTCCATGTTTGTCTTCATCTTTGTTTCCTCATAGATAATAAGAATTCATATTAAAGACTAAAGGTGGAAACCACTTACAGTTTGTAAGCTCTCTTTGCTGGAAAGCTAATGACCTTCCATAGCCTAACTGAGACACTCCAGACATTTTCATGGGGACAAGTAGCCAATACTAATAAATGCTTGGCTCTTACCCTGGCCCCATCTCTTCATTTCTGATTTTGATTACTGTTGGGTCAAATCCATGGAGAGACAGCCCACGTTGGCAGCAGCCACAGCTCCGAGTGGGCCTCCACGCCCTGGTGTCACTCCTGCATGCACAGACCCGAATCTCAGTCCAATCTCAGATATCCGCAACACATCTTCGACCGTGGGGAGGAGCACACGGGGCTTCTGCACAGGACTTTGGCCTGGATTCCAAGCATTTTCCCTCGATAGGGAGGTCTGGGGGCCCTGGGCTGGGCAGCAGTAAGGAAACAAAATGCTACAGTAATAGCAGTCAGGAGCCAGTGACGGCATCAAGGCGTCTTAGCCATGTGTGGAGGAGGGAGGCACCAGACAAATTAATAATAATAATAAAAAATAGCCAGAGGAATTAGGAAAACAAACGAATGGGGCCATTGTGTGCAGGGACAAATGGCCCTCCACACATCAGCACCTCCTCAGGGCACCGCATGAACCAGGGCTCAGCACCGTAATTGATGGTGCTAATTATGGCCTTGTCATTAGGGGAAGTTAAATGACGTTCATACTCTGCTTAATTATGTCGTTCTTTGTAGGGGTGCATATGCTACCTTTTCTAAAGTTTTCCAAACAAATGGCTATAATTTTTTTTAAGTTCCTGATGTTATCCAGAAACCTCAGTTACCCAGAAAACCAATTTCTCTGTTCTGTCTCAGGCCCCACAGAAGACACACAGATGAGACATCTTTGGGGCTCAACTCATCAGCTCAACACTTCACCGGATGAATGAGAAGAATCCAGCAAAGGGTAGAGATGACTCCTAGAAAAGCCCTCACACTGGGCAGGCTAGGGAGCAGAGAACAGACCACCCAAGTCCCCGGTGGTTTCAGAGCAGCTGGACCTTGGAGATTCACTGGAAGACTCACCCTCCGCCCTGGAAAGAAGATGAGAGATGGCAGTTTTCAGAAAGCAGAACAGTGAAGCAGGAAGAAGCTGGTTGTCAGGAACAGCCGCACTGGGAGCGCTCCGGGTCTTCTGACTCCAGGGTCTGGAAGCGGCTTAGACTCCTGGGCCCAGTTTTCCCCTGCACGAAAGGGGGCATTGCCTCTGCCCTGAGGGTTAAAGGGTTGTCTGGAAGGCTCTTGTGATAACAAGTGTGAAATGAAATATTTTCTGCTCTATGCTTTACCATTAAACAAGTCTTTTCCAAATGCCGATTTCTGCGCCCAGGTGAAACAGAGCCAGCTATTTGGATGCCATCAGTTACTTCCTGCCAGGTAGCACGGAGGAGCTGGGGGCATGGGAAAAGTGGCCATCACATCCACCATCTCTTACGGTGAACAAGGAATTCGTACGTGAACAATAAAGAAAGCAGGATTGGCCCCACATAGTTTGATTCATAAGAAAGAAATTATTTCAGCAAGCCCAGACACTTGCATCTTCTCATACATAGAAGACTGCTAAATCTCTTCATGTGAGAGATTTAGTTTTCTCTTCATTAACAGTAATCCTTTAATAGATTGCCTGCCCCTGGCCGCAAACTTGTATACAGCCTGGCTCCTCCCCTGCCTTCTTGGAGTCTGATCTCTTGGGATCACCTGAGATACTGTCTCTTGGGCTCCAGTCCTAACATTCCCATCCAATAAAACCTAACTCTCAACTTTTAGGTTGCATGTATTTTTTCAGCAGACACAAGTGAAAGTTCTTGGTTTGTGCTGGCCTTTGTGGGGCTCAACACAAGTCAAGGGGCTTTCTTCCTCCGCTCCTGGTGTCACAGGCTGTGTGTGGGGCCCTGCTTGCAGCTGAACGGTCATGCCGTGGGCTGTGCTAGCAGACCTGGGCCAGTGTCTAACATGGAACATGGCAATGTGGGCACTGAGGACCCGTCACACAGGAGGCACCACCTGGGCTCTGGAGTCAGAGGGACTCAAGTTGACTGTATTATTCTGTATTCACTTATTATATGCACTTACTTAGTGTGATCTTGGGAAAATGTTTCAGAGGTTGCTAAATGCCACTCAATATCAGTTTGCCCTTCTTTCTTAGCAATAGAACCCAGATTTCATTTAGGGTAGCAATACGCCCAGGGAAAAGGATATTTTCTCAAAAAAAATTTTTTTTTCTAGTTAATGAAATGCCAGCAAAAGTATTAGTATTGGGAAAGAAGATTGTTAGAGATTGTTGACCTGGGCGGGGGTGGGGAAAGGACTGT